CACACACACACACACACACACACACACACATACACAGGAGGAGGAAAGGAGGGACGACACAGAAAACACCATGGAAACGGCCAGAGCCGTGACATTATTAGCTAATTAGCTGGCTACTTACCCAGCTTGTTGCCCTCATGGCCTTGTGGTAGGGAGGTAAAGTGGAGGAGGCAGAAGGTGGGTGTGTAGTAACTGAGTGAGTGTGTGTGGGATAATGCGTGTGTTTGGGTTTAAGTGTGAGTAAGCAAAAGCGAGAGACTGAGGCCTCTGTCACATGAACCAAGTTATACTGTCATTGGAAAACCCATTTGTTTGAAGTGGAATCACAGCTATGATGCCGGGGCCAGACTAGCTCTAATTTAAAAAGAAGTGTTTGAGGAAAGAAAAATTATATTCAAACTTTAATTGGAAAAATTTGTGAAATGGGAAAAACCGGAGCTTCCGGCAAAAACCCTACAACATCCCACCTCTGCTCAGTTGTGGCCGTGCTGGAATGCAAGCCCCCAGTGATGGAGGTAAGTCTCCGTTCATGACGTTGAATAGTCTCTGCTTGAGCCCTCAACTCCTGTTCAAGAGGGTCTCAGACAGTCTTAGTGCAGTCAATGGGGTTTATTTACTGAAGAGCAGAAAAAGACAGGCAAGGGTCAAAACTGGGAAATCAAAAATCCAAACGGGGTCGTAATCAGGTCTGGAACAGGCAGGCAAGAATTCGGAATAAAAAACGCTAGCTAGTAAGGAACACACAAACAATCTGGCAGAGACTGGTATAAATAATGTACACGAACTAATGAGGGAATGGGGAGCAGGTGAGTGTATGTGTAGGGAGACTCAGGAGAAGGGAATGAGGTGACTAGCAGCTTGTGAGGGTGACTGGATCAAGGCATAGGTAGAAAGCTGTGACATTCTGGTGCTCTGCACACAACAAATATTGTTTAAGTTAAAAAGCTGCTCACCAGTCTCTCTCTGTAGGTGTTTTCCTCTGCTCACTTTTGGCCGTTCTGGAACGCCCTCTCCAATTACCTCTTTTTTCCCACCATTCTTCCTTGGATTCTTGAGATGGAGACATTTCTTGTCTGAGCATTCTGGGTATCTGCACACAACAAATATTGTTTAAGTGTCTTGAATCCTACAAGTATCATCCAATCAAGACATTGATATTAAAGAATACCTACATGTCAACAGTCCCTGAACCCTCGTTACAGTTGGTGAGAGTCTCTGTTCTTGTCTTCTCAACAATTCTCCTTTGCTTCTTCCTCTTCTGTTTCTTTTGCTTCTTCTTTTTTGTATTTTCTTCCATAGGTTCGTAGTTGCTGGCTGAAGCGTCGGCTGGAAGATTTTGGAAGAAATCTAAAAATAACCAGATAACACATAATATGACTGTGACCTTTAACTTTGACCATTGAAATCTAATCACTTCATCTTTGAGTCCAACTGACAACTGATCAAAAGTTAAAGAAATTCCCTCAAGGCAGTCTTGAGATATCTCATTGAAGAGGCCCATTGTGACCTTGACCTTTGACCACCAAAATCGAATCAGTTAATTGGTGAGTCCAAGCGAATGTTTCGAAATTTGTGTGCCAAATCTGAACATATTTCCTCAATGTGTTCCTCAGATATATTCAAAAGGAAAAACGTGTTTCTAATCAGGTCATCCATGAGTTCAAATTAATTGTGCGAAATGTTGTGAAATTCTCTACAGGCAGTCCTGATTTATCCTATTCACAGGAACACAAGGTTGCTTTAACCTTGACCTCCTGCCCTCAAGGGGATATTCTTCTTCTTCATCTTTTGGCTGCTCCCTTTTCGGGGTCTGAATAATAAAAAACTCTTCAATACATTCTTGAGATATGACGTTCACCAGAATTGGATGGATTGCCATGCAAAAACTTGAAAACATAATGCCTCAAGCCACTGGCAGTTGCTGGCACAGAGGTATAAAAAGGAAATAGGTGATATAATAATATCAAAAAAGGAAATTCCAATTCACCAAACTGCCTCTAAATCAATAGTTTGTACAGGACGTAGCTAAACTGAGATGCATTGTATTCACCAGTTTGTGTGTCCATCTCAGTCTCGTCGATCGTCCTCCTCTTCACTTGTGGTAAACTAATCTCTTGTCTTCTGATCTTTCTCTTCCTAGAATTATGGTCAATGCTTGATGTAGCCTCAGCTGGAGCATTTGGAAGCAACACTATAAAGAAAAAATAATTTTTTTTAGTTTTATATTCACCAAATTAATATTATTGAAATACTTCAACACTCATCAAACATTATCTCTTGATTTTACATTAGATGTTAAGATTTCATCCACTGAACTGATTTAACATATACTAGCTATAGAAGGTTTCCAGAGACATTTGTGGATGTTTTTACAATTGATGGCTATATTCTAATTTTATACAGGTACCATAAACATAGCATTAAATATACAAGAATGAGATGTTAGCTGGTAACAGCTCATATATTCCTGAAGTTCAAATGTTCAAAATCTCACAGTATGAAGCAGATTCACCAAGTTTCACAAAACTACCCTAAGATGCACTGAGTAAAAGTCAGTTCTTACCTTTTTGTGTGTTCTCCTCAATGCAGTCCAGCCTCCTCATCTTTGCAGCTGATAAATCAGTTTCTGGACTTCTGCACTTTCTCTTCCTTCGATGAAGGCTGTTGGATGCAACACTCTGTGAACCTGATTGGTAACATCGTGGCCTGTGGTCTTCATCCAACGAAAGGGATTTTGAAAAATTAATTGCCAACTGCAATATAACAGGATGCTCTTGGTGCCAGTGCCAAGCAGGAATGACCCAGTTGGAGGTGTTGAACTCTTCCAGGCTGGTGGTGCTGGTGGATGACTGTAGGGGCGACCACGATGGTTGCACTGGGTTAACTGACCTCCTCCGACAGACGTCCATCAGCTCAAAGGACGACTTCATACTGAAAGAGAAATAGTTGACTTGAGAACCTATGCCTATCTACATCATTTGAGAGATTTTATACACAGGATCTTAATGTTGACTTACTAGAAGCTGTAGGGGTATTTCTCTGCAAGGTAGTTCATTGTTATGAAGGGATCTTGAAATATCTGTCTGGGTGTTATGCGGTTGCTATAGTCCACACGTAGCATTCTCTTCAGTAGATTTATAAAAAGTTGTCTGTCCTCAAGTTCTGTCATGTTGTCCTCCTCCAGTAAGTGGCAGACTGGTCTGACCTGAGTCAGAGAAAAAGATCACAAAGTTCAATAAAATTTTCTAAGCTCATGTCTTGTCAATTGTTTTTCGAAAACTAAAAATCTTACCTTGATGAGGCAGTCCAGGGATTCGAATCTGCTCTTGATCCTCGTTTTTAGTCCCATTACCCTCGGGTCCTAAAGAGAAATAGCATTTGATTTACTTGATGTGTCCCAAATTCAAGTTGGAAAGTCACTTAACTCTTTTCGGACATAAATGCTGAAAATGTCTTAAAATTCACATTTTCTGGAGCTTTTCACATATAAAGAACACAGCAGGTGATTGTCCATATCAGACACTTTCCGAACCACCAGAAAACTTCTGACACATACTGTACATACGAGGGGTGTGAAGGGCTTGCATAAGGCAGGAGTTGACATATGAATTTGGATGTAGAAACCAGTGTTTTTTTTTACAGCATATATAAGATATTTGGAAACCTACTAACATTCAGTATCCACTGATTTGTCGCCCGAGGTTTCCATCTTTTCCTGAAAAACCATCTGGTGTCCTTTGCAATGTTGAGCAGTCGCTCCGGTATCCGACCCTGTGTCTGGGTGATAAGTTGTAACTGTAGGAACAACAAACAACACAAGTAGGATCAATGAGTTGATAACTAAAAACCAGTCCTGGATGACATCTGCCCATTCACAAGAAATGAGAAGCATCATGCAGCAAACAGAAGACTGAGAACTGGCCTAGAAAGCTCAACATCATCATCAGATAATAGCCAAAAGGCTATCAAAGATTGAGCTAGGCTGGGGTATGGAGGCAGTTAGCTTAGTTTAGCATAAGGACTGTAAGTTGGAGAAAGCAATAGTCATAACCTTAAAATGCACAAAGTGTTTTACTTTCCTGTTTGAGACTTTCAAGTTATTTAGCTGCCATTTTGTAAAAACATCAGTTGTTTCTCAGGCGTGCACAATGTGATGATGATGATGATGATGATGGTAATGTGTACCTTAAAGGCGCTGTTATCTTTCCCTCAATCATACAGTTATAGCAATCAGTTGCTTATTTCCTTGTTGCTTCAAAATAATTACTGAATATATTTGATTTTAATACTGACTATATCATATTCACAGTTTCCAGGGTAAAGTGGAGAGCCCAGGAACAGCTCTGCAGCAATGCAGCCCAGAGACCAGATGTCAGTCGCTGGTGTTAATGGAAGTCCCAGCATAACTTCTGGAGCCCTAAAATGAGGACATGAGTTATTACATTATTGAGGCAACTATTGTTTGCTTTGGTTGTAAAATCTAGAACCACTTGCCAATAACTCACCTGTAGATGAGTGGTTGGATGTACGGCATGTCCGATTCTATCTCTGCAACACAACCAGCCAAGCCAAAGTCAATCAATTTGATCCTAAATGGCTGGTTTAGTTGGTCCACCATCATGATGTTGTCTGCCTTCAGATCCGTGTGTAAAATGTCTAAGCTGCGCAGGAGTTCCAAAGTGGTGGCCATCTATTAACATGATGAACAATATACAGTCAGCTGCTGTACAAATTATCAGATGATCTTTCTTTCTCTTTGTCAGATTATTAAAACATCAGTTGCATTCAAAAGTCCAATTCAATAGTAAGGATTTTTGTACAGCACAATATAACAACACATTTACGTTAAAAAACTCTATCTGACCATACATAACACTGAAGAACAAAAATGCCCTCAGATCAACAACAACTGACCGTTCACTAGTCCCTCCACCACTCCACTCTTTAACAACCCAAAAGCAGAAGTGTATGGAGCAGTTCAAATACTTGTTATTTGATAATGTTATATTTGCTAACAGACGCATCTATCCTAAATGTTGTTGCTTTTGGTAAAGTAAAAGATAAGCAGCCTCAAACTTAGTTTTTACAATGCTTGTATCAAACATTAGTCATTAGTCGGGATTGTGAGTGGTAAATATTTCCATGTGACATGAGTAACATTAACAGGGCTTGGTGAACAGCCAGTTGTATTGTATTCTATAGGAGTTCCTGTGTTTATGTCCAACTCTTATATGCAAGCGCAACTCTAGTATAGAAATTACCTGATGCAAGAGTGGGCGTATCTCCTTCACAGACAGACAGCAGTTGGGTCTCTTCATCACAAAATCAAACAGACTCTGGTCCAGCAATTCGTACTCGACACAAACAAACTGTTTGTCAACAAAAACACTGTTGAACTTCACAAAGTTGAATTTGTCTGGATCATAATTTTTCAGGATTAACATCGTGGACACCTCCTTCTCTGTCAGAAATATCGACGTTTTTTTCTTCATCACCTTGACAGCCACCGTTTCACCAGTGGCTGTCTTCACACACTTGAGCACTTTTCCATAGTTGCCCTCTCCAATAATAGACTGCACCACATAGCAAGAGAAGGGAGAGCAGAGGCTTCTGATGTGGTTCTGGGACTGACAACTTGGTTGAGGGGGACATGAGGATGTGCTCGGCACCTGCATGTCTTTCTCCTCCCTATATTTTAAAGGCTACCAGAAAGAAATTTGAAAAAAAAAACAAGGTGTCAAATTTTGTCTCATAAATCCTAACATTTAACACATCCATGCCACTAAGAGTTTACATCCTGGGATATGATTTGTCAAGCTTTTGTGAGCTCTATTCATGTGCAGAATGAATATGAATTCCAGAGGAGGAAAGTAGATTTACTAGTAATGCACTGAAGTACAATTTTGAGTTACTAACTTTGTTATGCTAATTTATACTTCTATTCCACCAAGTATTTTTCAATCCACTATTTGATACATTTGGTTATTTAGCAGATTCAGATTAATAATATAAAATATAAATATGATATATTCATGAATATTATAGGTTGAGAAAATACCTCACAACAGTGCAAAATAATATCAGTATTTGTATCAGCCACTGATTTCTATGAGTGACATCTCATTTCCCTGCTTGTATTTGTCTTCCTCACATTACTTTAAAATAAAGTAAAACTTGTAGACTGAAAAGCAATGTGATTAACAAACAACTTTCCAACCAATAGACGATAATAGTAATAAACTTGCCATTTGCCCCCTCAGTTAGGCTTAAAGTCGTCCATTTTGTACAGTGTTGTTGCCACAGCAACCTAATTTTTTGTTTAGTTGGCAACCAAAGCAGATCAAAGACATTTGGCATTGTATTTATCAAATTTAAGATTTGATAAAAGGGATGCCAAATGTCTTTGATCTAAAATGGCTGCACTCTGCCAATAAACAGAACAAGAAAGAAGAGAGCATTCTATAAACCTATCAAAGGCATCCATTATTAAATCCAAAAATTACAGGAAGTTAGGTATGTTAGCATCACTGAAGCGGATAGGTTTGTATAATAAGCTACGAGAAGTAATGGTAGCCATCACAGAAGTGTAAGTAACCTTTGCCAAGGGCACTGACACAACCCCATACCATGTCAGACCACGGCTTCTGGACTTGTTGCTGATAAAAGCCTGGATGGTCCTTTTTGTCTTTTGTCCAGAGCACACGGCATCCATTTCTTCCATTTCTTTTCACTGTGTTGTGGTTCATCCCAGATGTTTTCGAGTCCAGAGAAGTCGACAGGGCTTCTGGACATTGTTAGCACAAGGCTTCCTTTTGGCACAGTAAAGTTTTAATTGGCATTTGTGGATGTTACTACATATTGTAGTGCTCGACAAATGTTTGCCAAAGTAATCCTGAGCCCATGTGATTATATCACTTATGGATGAAAGCGGGCTCTTGATGCAGTGTCGTCTGAGGCATCGGGGAGCACAGTTCGTCAGCTTAGGCTTGCGCCCTTGCCCTTTACGCACTGAAATATCTCTAGATTCCTTGAATCTTTTAATAATGTTGTGCACCATAGAGGATAAAATATCCAAATCCCTTCCTATGTTTCTTTGAGGAACACTGTTTTTAAAATATTTCAATCATTTTCTCACACTAGTTGGCAAACTGGCGATCCTCGGCCCATCTTTGCTCCTAAAGGAATAGGCCTTTCCTGGATGCTGCTTTTGTACTGAATCATGATAACAACCACCTGTTGACATTACCTATTTCAAATCACTTCATCTTTCAATCATTATACCTCATTACTAGCCCTAAGTATGTATGGACAAAGAATAGTGCAAGTGACAGTCTTCTGGTTTTTGGGTGCTCTCCAAATATAAAAAAAGAATGAATGTGATCAGATATTTAACAGGGTCAGAATGGGGAGCGAGGAGGTCATCAAAGAAAAATATAAATATAAAATTTACATTAAACGTTGGCTTTCTTATAATTGCATATGTGTGCATACATCATATTTGGGGGCATTCCAGTGTTATTCTGTGTGTGTGTGTGCAGGACAATAATTGTTTAATCCGTGTGAAATTTCCCAGACTTGACCTCTCTGGTGAAAGTGCTCTAGAGTAGTTGGCAGAAACAGCTGCAGATAAACTGTGAATGACCTACTGTCTATGTGAATGACAGAAAGTTAGCTTAAACTAATCCCCTCTTGTAAGGACGCCTGCAGGACACTCCGACAATCCAGCATGTCTGTGTGTCCTGAGACCTCCGCACCTCTGCACTTATCAATGCCTCATATATCACACTGTCTCTGTAAAGCTCCAAATGACTGGCTCGGCTCCACAGATTTGTGCTCACACTAAGAGCAGCAACAGAAGTTGTATAAAAAGCATGCATATAAAAATGTAGATCATAAGATGAAGAAGAATTAAGAGGGGCCCAAAAATGTCACCAGTGGAACATGGGACTGAAAACAGCTGCTGGAGGGACCCTGTGTCTTAAGCCAAGCTGTCTCCTTCACTGTTGATTCAAAGACTTGTTTACTAAGATGGATGATGGTTGGACATCTGCTCTCAGACACGTCTGGGGGGACAGATGATTGAGGCGAGTGGTCACACAGACTGTTTGACACAGCTTACCATGTATTTGAAGAAAAAACATTTTGGTAGGGTTTCTCCTTCAACACGCAACTTCCACACTTAATCAGTGATTCCCCAGAGTCTGATGGATGATTATCCACAGACACTCGTCTCCTCCTGAGGGGCACGGAAAGCATCAGAGGATGAATCAGTCAATCAATCATTTTAAAGCCATTGTAAGTGGTTATTGGGGAGGGCTTTGTAGAGAATGGAGGTAAATGATAATCGATTATGATGTAATATTGATGAAAAAACGTGTATAAAATATTCAGATTTACATTTTTAACTTGTTTATCTCGTAAGCTTCTAATTATTTAATGTTTGTTGCATTTCGTAGATATTTGTTATTTTGCTGACCTCTTGAAATGTTTTACCACAGCGGAAAATCTTGTGTCGACTCTTAACATATTCCCTCAAGAAGCCAACACACTCGACTGTTTTGCTGTTTGCCCTTGGCTGAGCCACTGTCCCCTGGAAACCCTGTTGATTTCCAGAAGAACCAAAGCCTTGGTGGGTAACTGGGTTACAGGGCCTGTAATTTGTAAGTAATAGAAGTTGTCCTGGATGAGGGCACGTAGGTATAGTCCAGGAAATGTTTTTGATGGGGGAGGCAGCAGGGGGGTACAGAGAGACTTCTCCACTTCAATCCTGGTAAACAGGATTAAGTTGGAGGCATAAGGAGAGGGTGAGCTGGCCTCGGGACTTTCAACAGCTCTGACTCGGTGCTGCCAAAGAGCCGGGAAGAATGGTCAGACACGTTCATTCATTTAGCAGCCGCGCTGTTCGCAGTTAATTCTCATTGAAGGAAAGAAGGTTTTCAGGAAAGCTTGTGGTAGTTGTGCAGTCATTTGTTTAATTTACTTGCATCTGAATGTGGCAGTTCAGTTTGGTCTGATAATGTTTGAGAGGGTCTTGATATGTAAATTAAAACCAAATGTAGTTCGTGCAAGATGGTGAGTTCAAGTACAGTTGACATTTCTCATTTCTTAGGCGTATGTGCACCAAGGATGTTTGTGATTGTTGAAGAACTGAAAATAATGCTGCCTTCGCTCTCATTGCGCATTTAATTAAAATTAAATAATTTTGCTTCTTTATGTGTTAAAAGCCAAGCCCGTTGTGCACAGCTTGTATTACAGGGACTGGTCTACTTTTGCTTATATTTATATTTTATCATACAATTGCTTACTTTTTATATAATCTTTATGAAAGGCACAACCTGACTTTATGATGTTGTGCTTACTTTCGGTGTGCTTATATAATGACAGTAGTTTAACAACTTCCTGTTTCATTAGGTGGCGCTATGACCCTGACTCTATATTGACATATGGATCTGTTCAGGCTGTGACTCTGATCATGTCTAAAAAATTTGGACAATGCAAAGTGGAGTTATAACAACTTCCTGTCTCATGGCGAAGCATCAACCTTTGCCGCAGTGCTACGGCTACTCAGTTTGAGAAAAACTCACAATTTTAACTATGAAGTACCATGAATTTTGGTGCTGTAGAGCAATTTTGGCAGAGAAGAAGAAGAAGACAAATAACGATTCCTTGCATTTCAATAGGGTGCTCCTTCTCCCACTGTTAGTGCTCGGGCCCTAATGATTTTGTAAATATGGTTGTTTAAAGGAACACCACACTCTGGGAAACGTCCCACTTTCTTGAGATGATAAAAATGGCCGTGCTCGGCTTTGGTACAGTTATAGCAACATTTCACTCCAGAGGCTTGTAATTGAATAACTCCATCCCTATAAAAGCAATTGTACGGTTATTATCTTCTTAGGGCCCCATTTGTGTGGAGTGGCACTTAGGATCAGGATAGTCAGAGGGACTAATCTCATATTTGGATTTCTTAGTCATCAGATTCGCTGCTGACGGCCAATGTCATTGCTGCGCTGCCGCCGCTGTCCATTTCGGCTGGCGTGATGATGATGGGGTCGCCCTGACCTCCTGACTGGTGTTATGTGTGTGTGAGTGAGTGTGTGTTACAGTATTGGCAGGAGCTGGCTCATCAATGAGGTCACTATCGAGTGAACGCGCGGCCACGCTCTCGGTGTGCGAGGTCATTTAGCACATTCTCGGGGTCTGCAGAGGAACCGTGGAGATGTTCGGGGGGGGAGTGAATATGGATGAGATTGATGGACTGTCGGGAGGAATTATTTTCCCTAGCTCATCAATGTCGCTCAGTTAAAACCTTGTGATCTGATTAGTTTTGACCACTTAGCTAATCTCACTCTTTGATTCCATGTTGAGCAAACGCAGAGAACAAACTATTTTCCTGAACTTATGCTGTGACGAGAACAGTGGAGATAGACTTTATTAACATTCAGCAATAAACAACGTTTTTGTTCATCAACTCTGAGGGAAGACAAGTTTAGCTCGATTGACCTGCGACCAAACCCTAATTATTTTGGGAATTTTTAAGCAAATATGCAAAACTCTTTTTAAACTATATATGATATGATTTAAGGCTGATGATCAGCAAAATCAAGCTATTTCTGACAAAATAAGATAATTAAAATATCATTAAACAATAATTGTCCATTCTAAACTATACAAC